GAAAGTCTCTTTCATTGCCCTGAGCTTTCCTGATTTGACTGTCGGTAAAAGCCAAAATTAAAGAACGACACTAAAAAGAGGAAATGCCCCGTAAATCTACAAAAAAAAAACTCAATTGATATTAAATGCACGTCTTTTAATCAGTTTAAAGGAGCTCTGTACAATGCCGGTACTTGGTAGCGAGACATTAATACTGAAAACACTCGCATTAGCTACTTTATTTACACCTCTATTTAGTTACGTATTATTTATAAGTTATTTCTTATCACCCACTCGACTAACTTACTACTTATCCGATTTCACTGGTTTGGTTGCCAACTCGAAAGCGTCCGCTTCCTTGACCACTACAGACTTCTTTTTGTTTTGTTTGTTTTTCTGTTTGTTTGTTATTTAATGCGACAAATTATTGTAATTGAAACAATTGTGAGAACCTGAACTTGCACTTAAAGCTACTTAAACACTTAAAACCTGAGGTCAAAGCTCTGTGCCCTGGCCGTTAAGGGCATCATAGCCGATGAAACTTCGAGAAAAAAATTGGTTTCCCTAATTATCATCAACTGCCATTTACATGATCAGCCGGCGCGAAGAAGTTTGCCATAATTGTACTCGACGATAGTTTATTTTAAGCTCCCTCTAACTTCTACTGCCATGCTTCTGCCACGTAAATCATTGACAGATGGTCCTAAATAAATTTAGAGCCTTTGTATATGGAAAAAATTCCTTGGTAGTTTCTAAACAGCAGAGAACCGTTTACATGAGAAATCTTGGGTGACCCTGGGTAGAGAACAAGTTGTTTTGAAGGCAGGGAGCTTGTAGACATCACCCCTACCAGGGGTACATTGGGACTTAACGAGCATGAGCAAACTCGAGATCTGGCGGGGCCTGAGTTTTTGACCTAACCGGTAAAGGATAGGAGGGGAACGGGTAACCCTCCTGAGGAGGAAGTATATCTTGAGTACTCGTTACTGAATATTGACTACTCACTGATCATTTACTACTACTTTCGTTTCTCATTAACCAGTCTTGTCACGGAGTTACTCCTTGCAAAAATTAAATCGTCCTTTTGATTCAAACTGTGGCTGTATTCGGGGAACGGCTGAGCGCCATCTTCAATTTCAATGTCAGACCCTGGGTATGACGCTGGTGCAAAGCAAGCCTGCAAAAGCAGAAACATAAAGAATCACTGTATCTCTGACCGAGATATTCTCCCCAAATAAAACGATTTACTTCATATAAAACAGATCAAAGGTTTTCTCAATATAACCAAGGTGTGAAATCCCTTCTTTCTTTAAGAACGCAGATTTTTGTTTTGCGCGAGAGGAGTACGCATTGGACCAGCTTTAGCAAAATAACGTGATATGTTATTAGCGGTAGCTCTCAGTAGATTTTTAGCCTACGCAAGTGCCTGCATCAATGCTGGAGAATTTTCACTGTGCGATTGCCTACACAGGCATTCAGAGTGCGCCTCCAGTAGTTTTGTGAGCTTTTTTGCGTTTTTATAGCTCAAGGGTATAATTGAAAAAATGCCAATAAGTGACTTTTAACGACATATGTTAAGTAGAGCATCATCTAGATTACGCTTGAACACTGATACTGCACACTCTCTAATCAAATAGGATTCTACGTGACATTAAAATCTCCGTTGACCGTTTCCGATTATTTGCATTGGTTCCGGAGATATCTGAGTTTAAAAATTGCGTCAAATATGAAAATGAGAGGACTGATGACGTCATACACTCAGCCAAATACTACATCAAGTACATAAACAGAGCTATCTCGGTCAATTTGCAGCAGAAACCAGTGAAACTTGGTAGGCTATTATTATTACATGCAACACACCTACCGCTATAAAAATTTTGGTGCCCAAAGCAACCCACTCTTTCCAAGTCCCCTCCAACCTGATTTCAATATTTTTAATAATTTTTAGCTCAAAAAGCATTAAGCAAGGCCATGAACTCGACCTAACATATTTCTGTGCTTGCTGGATCATGCAGATCAGGTACCCTTGGCAAATATCAATACAGAACGCTACAGGTTGGCAGAAAAGTCTTTAATATCGGGTAGGTCTAGAACCCAGTATGTTGCCATGGTAACAAAATCTAGGGTTCAAAATGTGGAGTACCTCTTCTAGAATCGTATTGGCAAGAGTTAAACGTTTCTGATTCAAATTGGCTGACATATCTTCGTTCATAATATTTTATCAAAATCAGGTTGAGTTTATGACGTCATCGCTTAACTAATCTGCATATTTTTAAAAACTTGAATATCTCTGGAACGATAAGAAATAATTGAAAATAGTAAACAGAATTTTTCCTTTCGTACCGACTACTTTTCTATGCTTAAAAATGGCTTAAATAGGAAAGATGCAATTTTCGTCAGAGTACCTCCTTAAGTAAACTTACTCTTATTTTCCAAAGTCAAAAGTCACATTATCTCCAATCAGCATAAATGGTGCCCAGTCGTCAACTTTATTAAAGCCGTTACCTCTCATCCACTTCATGGCCTGGTGAAGAGATTCACTGGCACTCTCGCCACGAACAAGATGCTCGTAGAAATGACGCATCAGCTGCTCTGTTGCTTTGTCACTTATGGCCCAGAGAGCCACCAAAACAGACCGTGCACCGGATCCTAAGAACGCTCGAGCAATCCCAACGACTCCTTCGGCTCGAATCTGCCCACATGCACTATGACAGCAGCTTAGTACCACCAGTTTAGTTCGCAGTTGAACTTTTGCAATGTCAAACATCCTCAAAAGGTAATCTTCTTCTTCTGGAGTCCTGTTAGAACGCCGTACCGGAGAAAGGGCAATTTCTCCTCTTTCAGCATTACCATGGGCTGCAAAATGTATCAGACTCACTGAATGTAATCTGTCAAGTACCGCCTGCTTAGTGGCCTTCTCTCCTAACAAAGGTTCAACACCTAGGCGTCGTCCAATCATGGCTGCTTCGCTTGCTGCACCGGGTAACCTAGAAAAGAGCATTTCCATTCCTTTGTAACGCACCATACCGACAGCCGGATCCCCCACTATTAGAGCACCAGTCTGACTGTGATAGTCTGCTGGACTGTTCTGAATGAGCTTCAGAGTCGTCAAAGAAGGAACGATGCGGATTCTGAAATTTTCTGATAAATACTTCCCGCCTTCATCCGCTAACGCTGGAAATGGAACTCGGTTTAAGCAGCGATCAGGAACAACAATGAGCTCGGGCTCCTCAAGTAGATCAGCTACCGGAATGATTAACATTCTGTAGTACAAAGAAACGCTCGATTCGGAGTTTCCACTTTCTTCATCTTCTTCCTCTATAAGTCTCAATGCTGCGACGCTCTGAACGTCATTTAAAGATCGATCTTCACAATCTTCCTCGGGTACAATACCAAAGCTTCGAAAGCTTGTAGCGAAGAAATCATCTAACTTGCCACCTAGTTCGGTACCAACTAGTTTCTCACCTACTCTCATTCTTCGGAAATGAATGATTCCACTTGTCTTGAGAACCCAGAAAAACAGATCGTTATCATAATAAGAAATGTACAGACAAGAAGAGTTGCTTTCTTTTTTCATAATATTTTCAATACCAATCCACGATTGGGGATCAGCTGATATGTGGCTTTCAACAGAGTACTGAGATGCCATCAAGTCTGCTAATGCTCTAGCCCGTGCCAGCTCTAAAACATAGAGGGCATGGTTCGGATTTTCCCCAAAACAAAGGAATGCACTAAGATTCCGGTAGGGAAAATCGTGAACATCTGAAGACAATACCTTAAAATCGTCATTGTCCCCTAAAAATCTTCGTAAACATTCGCTGTTTTTCATACCCAGAAACAGACAGTCAAACGCTTCCTGGATCTTGTTTTGGAATAACTTCACCACTGTAAGAAGACAAAGAATTTTAAACTCTTTCTCTAAGTCCTCAATGTCTCGGGTAATTGACAATGCGCTCTGAATATAATCTTCAGCCATGATATATTCACCAAGAAATGCAAACAGAGTTCCTAAGTTTCCGTAAACTGCTGCTTCTCCCTCTTTGTGACCAATTCGTATGCTGATGGCAAGTGATTTTTCAAGATATTCTTTAGCCTTGTCATATTCACCAAGAGATGTAAACACACTTCCTAAGTTTCCGTACGAGCTGGCTTCTCCCTGTTTGTCACCAATTCGTATTTCGATGGCAAGTGCTTTCTCAAGATATTCTTTAGCCTTGTCATATTCAGCAAGACATGTAAACACAGTTCCTAAGTTTCCGTAATCAGTTGCTTCTCCCTGTTTGTCACCAATTTGTATTTTGGTAGCAAGTGCTTTCTCAAAATATTCTTTAGCCTTGTCATATTCACCAAGAGATGTAAACACAGTTCCTAAGTTTCCGTACGAGTTGGCTTCTCCCTTTCTGTCACCAATTTTTATTCTAATGACAAGTGCTTTCTCAAGATATTTTTTAGCTTTGTCATATTCACCAAGAGATGTAAACACAGTTCCTAAGTTTCCGTACAAGCTGGCTTCTCCCTGTTTGTCACCAATTTTTATTTTAAGGGCAAGTGCCTTCTCAAGATATTCTTTAGCTTTGTCATATTCACCAAGAGATTGAAACACAGTTCCTAAGTTTCCGTAATCAGCTGCTTCTCCCTTTTTGTCACCAATTCGTATTCCGATGGCAAGTGCTTTCTCAATATATTCTTTAGCCTTGTCATAATCACCAAGAGATGTAAACACAGTTCCTAAGTTTCCGTAATCAGCTGCTTCTCCGTCTTTGTCACCAATTTGTAATCTAATGGCAAGTGCTTTCTCAAGATATTCTTTAGCATTGTCATATTCAACAAGAGATGTAAACACAGTTCCTAAGTTTCCGTACGAGCTGGCTTCTCCCTGTTTGTCACCAATTTGTATGTTGATGACAAGTGCCTTCTCAAGATATTTTTTAGCTTTGTCATATTCACCAAGAGATGTAAACACAGGTCCTAAGTTTCCGTACGAGTTGGCTTCTCCCTCTTTGTCAGCAATTTGTATTCTGATGGCAAGTGCTTTCTCAAGATATTCTTTAGCCTTGTCATAATCACCAAGAGATGTAAACACTTTTCCTAAGTTTCCGTAAGAGTTGGCTTCTCCCTGTTTGTCACCAATTTGTATGTTGATGGCAAGTGCCTTCTCAAGATATTTTTTAGCTTTGTCATATTCACCAAAAGATGTAAACACAGTTCCTAACTTTCCGTACGAGCTGGCTTGTCCCTGTTTGTCACCAATTTTTATTCTGATGGCAATTGCTTTCTCAAGATATTCTTTAGCCTTGTCATATTCACTAAGAGATGTAAACACAGTTCCTAAGTTTCCGTACGAGCTGGCTTCTCCCTTTTTGTCACCAATTTGTATTCTGATGGGAAGTGCTTTCTCAAGATATTCTTTAGCCTTGTCATATTCACCAAGAGATGTAAACACAGTTCCTAAGTTTCCGTACGAGCTGGCTTCTCCCTTTTTGTCACCAATTTGTATTCTGATGGGAAGTGCTTTCTCAAGATATTCTTTAGCCTTGTCATATTCACCAAGAGATGTAAACACAGTTCCTAAGTTTCCGTACGAGCTGGCTTCTCCCT